CTGCACCAATTATATTCAATCCATGCCCAAAAAGAGAAAAATAAGAAGAAAGGGAAACGCACCTTCGACAAGCTGATGCAGATAAAACACAAGCAGCAAGAGCAATAACAGATCTTTGAGGTGGTCCCCGCCAGTGAGCCAGTTGCCGATCGGCGGTGCGAGCGCGAGGAGGACGGGGATCGAGGGTTTGTACCATGGGCGGGAGTCGGGGGTGTCGTGCTCTTCCTCTGCCCCTTCCCCTTCCCTCTCCTCGCGTGGGTCTGCAGGACCACGGTGCCGAGAACCACTAGCGTAAATCGTCTCCTCCCCGCTCTGCCCCTCCTCTCCCTCCACATATTCGCCTTCCTCGTCATCCTCCTCATACGACGTCGGCGGCGACGGCAACGAATGCAGGTCTTCACTCTGGTAGTCTGCGTCCGCGTCGCCGTTGCGCGTGCTCGAGTCGGCGGTGCTGGCCGTGAATGAGCGGCTGGCGCGGGAGAGGAGGTGCATGCGCCGACGGAGGGGATTTGTGGATGAGGAGGAGGAGGTGAGGCGGGCGCTGGATTCGCCCGACATTGGAAAAGAAACTAGCAGAAATTTGAAGTCGAAAGAGCGCCGGAAGAGAAGACGAGAAGAAGCAAGGGATTCGAGATGACGGTGCGGGGAAGGTTGTGAAATACACAGGGATAAGCAGGGTGTAGCCAAGCAAGGACAATGCTCGGTAACTTCCGTGTTCAACTCTCTGCTTCAACGGGCTGGCCGAAAGAAAAGTACGGAACGCCCGAAAGAAGAGAAGCAGCTGGAGGTAGCGGAGCGGCGTCTTGTGGTGCGGCGTTTTCGGGCGCAACGTACGGTGGGCCAATTGCGACAGGGAGTTGAACGTCGATAGGTTTGTGAAACCGCGCGATCCAAGTCAGAAAGCCTGTCAACGTGAGCCATGATCTCGAATTGCGATACCGGCAGTTTTTGCGCCAGCCTAGCGATGAGGTAGACGAGCCCGAGTGCGACGTTCGCGATGGTGAACAACTTGTAGATCTTATCGCCCTTGCTTTTTTTGCGGATCTGGGGGTCCTCGGTTTTCTAGATCTGGATGCCTTCGAGGATGCCGTCGCGCTCGATCTCAGAGGTGGTCATGATGGTCGACCCGGCAGCCGTCGTGAACCCGCCCATGACGAGAAAGAAGGCCTGGATTTTCGTCAAACTGTACATTAAATCAACATGAGCCGTGCAACAGTGCTAAAGGGATAGATGGCTCACTATGCTCAAACTTCTTCGCCAACCAGAACTGGCGAAACGCAAGAGCCACGATAATCTCCGGGGCGAAGAGGGTGAGGAAGAATAGCTTGCTTTTTTCGGCGGTTCCAGTCCAGTACTTCTGATCGCCAGGTACGTCCGGGTGTAAGGACTGCCATGTTGAGTTGAAGATAGTGAAGAAAGAGACCTATCATCATGAGTGTGCGGCACCCGTCGATGTTTGGGCAGGTGGGCGAGGAGGCCATTGAGATGGTGGAAGAGGGCAAGAGAAAGTGGGGCGTGGGGGAAAGGAGACTGGGCAATGAATGAGTCGGTCAGCCACTTATGATTGCGGTGGCTGACACTCAAAAAGTTGAACCGCATTTCTCTCCACGAGCGTGTGAGAAGGCTAAATGAGATATCTACAATGTAAATCAACAGATTGGCTTTTAGTCTGCATCTCTACTGCATTTTCCAAGAGCTGCGGCGGTACTTGTCAGTAAAATAATCACAATGAGTGTTGGTGATAATTTGATAAAGTGAGTTCATTGAACTCTGAAATTCAAACGGCCTTCCTAGTGCGCAAACGCACCTGATGACGACCACAGACGTGTGGATGTAGTGCATTTTGACGTTACCAGGCCACTTTGAAGGAAGTGCACAAACGCTCACGGTTCAATTTGCATCGAAAGTGATGCCATCACTGGCAGCGCGGCTGAAGTCAGCGGTCTGGTCCGTCATCTTGAGAAGTCTGTGAGAGGGCCGGCCAGCCACATTGTACCAAAGGTCTACAGGCTACAGTGGACTCATATTCATTCATCTCAAGACCCTCTGCCATCACGGCAAAAGGTCGAAGTACTTACCGCTTCGCCGGGCCTTGGCCCTGCTCTACTATCTAGCCTCTTATCAATATTGAACAGACACTACAACGGAGAAAACTCGTACCTCGTTCCCCATTCGCCTACTAATAGGCGTTTTCTTGGCGTCATGGCGGGCCTCTGTTCACAGTTCGACTGAGACTGTTTGGGCTCTGCACATCTTACCAGTCTTGTCTGTCTTGTCCTCGGCGTCGCCTACTCTTTTATTGCTTGCTTATTTCAAGTGTCATTCTCCTCAGGCTTTCACCTGCATCGCATTCACAGGGCAGAATGCTGCGTGTTTCTCTCGCTCGACACCAGAATGCACCGGTGCAACCTCCTATCACCGCCTTAAGGCGGTGACTCCGCTGAGTGCCCCTAAGCCCCTGGGGCTCATAAGTGCGCACGGAAAGCAATGAAGGCTCCATATCCCTCCCACATTCGGAATCACGTTCGAATTGTAATGCGCGTTGGGCCCACATCCCCGCTACTGCCGCGGTACTGCTATCCAACGCCTGCGTCGAGGTCCGCGCCCGGCTCGACGCTGTCCGATCCGCAATGTCATCCGCCCGTTGACGATCCCTCCGCGCTGCCACCGCTGGCCCCCTTCGCGCGCGCTCTAGTAGGGATGGACATCGCACCCTGTTCCGCCTTCGACCTCGCTAAGCGCACGGGCGTTCAGACCACCGCTCTCATCGTGTCCGCACGCCTCGACCCCGAGCGGCTGAAAGAAAGTTTGTGCGCCGTCGTGGAGCGGAGGTTTCCCAGGGCGGGGGCGCGGCTGGGGAAGAAATATGGGGTCTATGCGTTCCATGTTCCTGCTGCGTTCGACGTAAGCACGCCCGCCGTCGCATTCACGACGGCGGAGTACAACGAGCCGTACGGCTTGCCCGCCGCGGGGCGTCCGGTAATCCCATTCCTCGCCGACCCCGCACTGTATTCGGGGTCGAAGCCCGCGTTCATGCAATCCCCGGGCCTGCGCGAGTACCTGATTAGCCCGACATGCCCCACGTCTCCGGCGGGATTCACCAATATCAACACGCCCCTGCTCCACGTGCACGTCGCGCGATTCTCCGACTTGACGCTCGTTGGGCTGACGTACCTGGAGATGTTGTGCGACGCGTACGGGCTGGGCATGCTCCTGCGCGCGTGGACGCGCGTGCTCGCAGGCGAGGATCTCGCTGCAACGGAGGGTGAGGGTAAGGGCATGGACTGGAACGCCGCGCCGTTCAGCGAGTTTTGTGACTACGCGCCGGCGGATACACAGTGTCCGCGCGGGTACGGGTTCTTCTGGGCGGAGTTGCACGACTTCCTACTCCCGCCGGTGCTCTGGGCGGTGAATTGGGTGTCGGACACGTTGCGGAGGGACGAGACGCGGCTTGTACGCGTTCCGAAGGCGTTTGTGGAGCGAATAAGGAAGGAGTGGATGGAAGGTGTGACGCGCCATGGGACGGAGGGGAGTAAGGGGGTGGTGAGCGAGGATATGTTGATGGCGTGGTGGTGGAAAGTTCGTCAATTCATCTTATCTCTTCTTCGGTTCTTCCTTCGTGCGTGTTCATTTCAATTCCTAGACGAGCTACAGCTGCACCACTCGCGAATACGAGCAGGAGCCAGTCTGCCTTCACACCTCCGTCGATTTGCGTACGAAGCATGTCGTCGCCTCCGAGCTGGAGGAGCCGTACATCAACAACGCCTCCGCAACCATCCCGCTCCAGATATGTCTCAAGAGCGTGCAGGAGATGTCCGTGGGTGAGCTAGCGCAGCGGATCCGAGGGGCAATCAAGGAGTATCACGATGCGGAGCCAGCGAAATTCGAGAGAGAGTTGCGCTGGCGCGAGGCGAACCCAGGGGTGCCACTCCTGCGATGCCCGCCTGGCTATCACAGTTCGCTGATGACGGATTGGCGAGAGACCGGGCTGGGGGCGTTGGATTTTTCGGGGGCATCTGTACGCTGCGAGAAGAGTGTTGGGCCGTGGAGCGACTCGAAGTCGGAGGAAGGATCGAAGGTGCGCGTAGTGGGTGTTTCAACGGAAACGCTTCTAGCGGACAAGTGGGAGCCCAAGCGTGTGCTGCAGTGCGGCACAGGGGCCATTTTGATGGAGGACGAGCATGCGATCTGGATGAGTCAGATTAAGAGCAAGCGGGAATGGAGGAAACTGGAGCGGTGTGGAGTTATCGACAGTTTGAGCGCGCGAGAGTTGTAGTTGAGTTATACATATGGAACAGTGCTTGTAGAGTCGTCAGCATCTGTCTTGCAATACCTCCCAATCCTTTGGCAATGATCGTCCTCGGGAGCGCCGGAAGAGAAGACGAGAAGAATCGAGACGACGGTGCGGGGAAGGCTGGGAAATACACAGGGACAAGCACTGTGTAGCCAGACAGGTACAATGTTCGGCAATTTCCGGGTTCAACTGGTTCAACCTCGCGGAATTCTTTTTCTAGCGTTACCCTTGGTCTATAGCTAGGCATCCCCCCAAGATTACAATACTTTTGAAGCTAGCTGTTTCTGAGTAAATTCCGGGCCGTGTTGAACCTATATTCCTAAAATTCTGTATTTGGAGTCCCTGAGTCCCCCGGCCCTGCCACCGACCAAAGATTACGCTTACAATTTGCGGGCCTTATACGTGATCTTCGGAACTCTACAGACCTTACATGCTCCTTGAGGGAAATGGAGGCTTGCAGCTTCCATCTTCATCAGCAAATGCCGGATTTGCAGTAGTGCTCTGAAGCACTACAGAGCACTACGTAGCAAAAGACCTTCACTACGGGCCACTACAGGCCACTACAGGCCACTATATAGTGCTCCGGAGGCTCCAAAAAATCCGGGTTTTGCTGATGTTCGGGATCCTACCGTCATCCTAATACCGCGGCCATTCAAGAGACAGAAAGACCATCTGCTAAGGACCAAGGCAAAACTATGAGTAGGACGACTCGTTAGCGGATGGCCCGCGCCTACTTTCAATACAGTCGAGGAACTCCTCGGAGCAAGTGAAGCAGGAGGAACCTGGTTCGACTCCGGGACGAGTCGTGTATCATCCGTGAAATTTTATTGTCAGTTTGTGATTTTGAATCTGTTAAGCATCCTTCTTCTATCTCTCCAAGCCTCGATTTCGCCGAGCTTTCAAGACTCTGCGTGCCTCAAAAACCAATTTTGAATCCTGACGGTGTTCAAGTCGAATGTTCAACCTTTGGCAGTCACCGCTGCCTATTCAATCGCTCTTCATCAAAGCCTAAGGGTACATTCAACTCAACTTACACCGAAACACAGAGCTCCGAACTCAGGTAGGGCAGACTCGGTAGTGGGCTACACCTGCCCTTCATAGGACGCTTGAAGTTGCATGCAGGGACCCGGTTCGATTCCGGGACGAGTCATAGTACCGAGCGTATCCTCGTTTTTTCTTCGCGGCTGCAGCGGACCCCTGGTGAAGGATATTCAAGTTGTAGTCACTCCACAATCTCCTTGGTTCCCGGTCTGGTCACCCATTCTACCACTAACACCCAAGTGTTCAATGAATCTTCGACCCCAAACTGGGGATTATACACAACCACGAATATCATCGGCAGGAAAACTCCGTAGCGGACGGTCCGCACCTGCTTTCGATACGTACCGGTTGTTGAATTCTAAGCGGGAGAACCCTGGTTCGACTCCAGGCCGAGCCGTGAGATAACGCGAGTATGTTTCCCCCTCTCCCCATTGTTCGCATAATTGAACGCATGGCGTTGCTCAGCTAAAAAAGGCTTGATGCGCACTTCATTCACTCCGGCGGCAAGCACGAGAATCGGGTGTTCACTTTTTATGCATGCACTCATCTGTGGATGAAAGGGCTGATCTAAAAGTGCTAATATAAGACTCGTTGGCGGATGGTCCGCGCCGGCCTTCGATACGAAATCGGGGATTGAATTGCAAGCCGGGGGACCTGGTTCGACTCCGGGACGCGTCGTGTATCGCCATCCGTGTAATTTTATTATTTCTCTTTTTCTTCCTTCTTCTATCTCTCCAAGCCTCGGTTTCGACGAGCTTCAAAGACTCTGCGTGCCTCAAAGAACGATTTTGAATTCTGCGGGCTCTCAAGTCGCATGTTCAAGCTTCTCACCCTGCCACCTGTATAATCAAATCGCTCTGCAGCCAAAGCCCCAAAGTTGGTTCAAATCACATCGAGCCATGGAAGCACAGGACTCAGGTAGGGAAGACTCGGTGGTGGTCCGCACTTGTCATTCATGATGAAATTCTTTGGCAATGGGCATTTGTACGCAGGGACCCAGTCCGATTCCGGGTTGAGTCATGCGGGGTCTTACGATGGTTTTTTTTGTAGTTGCAGTGGACCACTGGTGAGCGACCTTGTGGTCATTCCACAGTCTCCCTTGGGTCGTGTTCTGGTCCGAGTCGCCCATCCTACCACTAATTCGCAAGTATCCGTGAACTTCACAGCGTGAGAATTATATCGAGTTTGAGCAGGAAGACTCGGTAGCGGATGGTCCGCACCTGCCCTCGATACGAAGTGAGCAGGAAGACTCGGTAGCGGATGGTCCGCACCTGTCTTCGGTATGAAATCGGGGATTGAATTACAAGCCGGGGGACCTGGTTCGACTCCGGGACGAGTTGCGTTCCCCTTTTCCACTTCCTATGGGATGATGTGCTTTATGCGGGAGCCACTTGTGCTAAATCCAGGACGAGACATACCATCTTGCTGAGCAGGGACAAACTTCCACGAACACGAATCACACCAATGCGGATCTTTCGCTCCTGCATTGAGTACCAATTGATTGGTTCACGCCCCATCAGATACTGAGGGAGGCTTTTTGTGCATCGCTGGTGTTTTTGTTGTATCGCCGGGATCCCCGAGAACATTCTCACGGTTGTGTTTTTCGAGTTGAATATCAGTAAGCCTCGATTATCGGCAAGTTAAGAATTTAAGATCTCACGACGCAACTGTTTCAGGGCCCCTTTAGCTGCGGATTGTGATGAATCACGAGGCATTCGGGCTCTGGAAGAAAAAGCAAAGGCAACTGCACAACCTCAACAAGGACCTGCAGAATTTCCAGGGCCATTTTCCCAACGCCCTTTGTGTACCGATTCTCTGACCCTCACCATGCAGCTCGGGGTACAACGCCAACGATGTAGCCCCCAAATGAGACTTGTCAATATTTTGCAGCCACTGTGAGGAGCTTCCACTGTGGCCTTATGCTGGATCTTTGGGCTCAAGATTGCGATGAGGACTATTCAAGTACGTAGAGAAGAGTGCTCAAACTTGTTCAACAACACTGCCGATTGAAAAAAGTGCAAAGCTTTGGAGGATGAAGGAGATCAGGGAGATCTCGGTTCGAGACAAGAAATCAAGTTCCTCCTCTATAGAAAAATGTTTCGCCAAACTTTTTGGCGCAGTTGTATACATGCCGACAGAGTCTAAGGCTGACTTTCATCTGATGCACCCGGCATACTATCCAGCTCGAGTACAGTTTGTTCTTCCGATACAGCCACCGTCTCCACACAAATTGGCTCAGGATGTCTTGCCACAAGTCCTTCCAAGATCAGCCGCAAGCGAGAGAGTGTCGGCGGTTCTTCGGCAGCCAACGCTGACTCGGCTTCGTAAGCTGAGAGGCGGTCCTTGATTTGCGACCGGGCAGTGAGGTCATCAAGCCACGGAGTTAGAGGTCGCACACGGTACGGGTACGGCCAAACGCCGGCGACCCGGTAGATCTCCCAGCAATTTAACTTCACGAGCGTGGGGAGGAAATTCGGGACCTTCTTAGTGACAAAGCATTTGTGCACGGCGTTGGCGAACCATATTTGAGTGGTCCAGTGGATAGCAGACCCTGGAGAGTTGCCCAAAGCATTCAAGGCCTCCAGAGTTTTTGTCGCTTCGTAAGGTATGACATCCGACGCACAGTCGCCGAGAAATTTCGCGAGAATGCAAATTCTGGCGCCATCTTGCCAGTCTGGATCTCGCCACTCGGTATTTGTAGGTTCAACTTGAACCCCCTTGAAGTGCCGGTAGAACAGTGATAGGCCGACTGTTGTGTTCGACGGGGACGTGGGATCCCAAGCTCCACACATAGTGAAGATCATGTTAAAGACGAGAGGACATAAAGAGGCCGACATGGATGGAAAGAGGCTACTCCTCGACAGCGCGTTAATGACTGATTCGAGACAAACCAGCTCCTGGAGCTCCATTGGGTCGTCTTCGTAGGTATGAAGGCTTGCTACACGCCACATGGCAGTGAGAAAGGCATGCAGCACGTCATTCGGCACAGTTGTCGAAGACAAGGCATCGGCGAGACTGGACCACAAGTAAGCCTCGCATTTTTTTCCCTTCCCCAAAATGCGCTTCAGAGCTAGGTCCGATTGTCGTCCGTTGAAAAATTCGATGATGGGGCAGATCTCGTTGTTGTTGTTCCAGCATCTGACAAATGTGTCGTCGTCGGGTTGCCAAAAGGATAGTAAAGTGGAGATGCTTGCGTCGATCCATGTAACTTCGGAGATGTGCGGTGCGGCGTTGAGTCTTTCCAATGACTCGGATAGGACCTTATTCAACCGCGGGCGGACGATGGACTGGATTTTGGATAAGGGGACCGAAGCGTCCAAGGTCATGGCTTCTCGAGTTGCATCCCAGTTATATGGGGCGGATGAAAGTAGTGCCGATTGCGCCAGGTATTCAAACACAGCTATGTCAGGCTGCACATACACTGACAGCAGGCGATTGATATCGCGGAGGGATGATTCAATAGGTGAGGGGCCGGCAGGGGTGCGGGTGAGATCGTAGACTTCGATTTTTATGCGCCGCCCATTCATAAACTTCCTTTCCATGGTATTAATGGTTGATCTGATCTGGTCCAAGTCAAGAGCTTTGCTTTGTCTTTTTACTTGCTCAGAACTACGGTTGGCCGCAGCCTGTTCGAGACGTCTCCGTAGGTGCAGTAGCCGCTGTTTCATGACACCAAAAGTGCTCCACTGCATGAGGGCCCAGACAGATAGCACATGCGGGTCATCCGATGGGAAGTCGTCATCTGTGGCTTCCTCGCATATGTAGGAAAAGTCCACAAAAACCTGGGGGCGGAACAAGTCCCAAGTCGAAGAGAGATGTGCAACAGCCCAGAGCGCTTTATAGCACACGATCCGGCGGCTTTTTGTGACATCCGAGGATAGAATGCCCGTTGAGCAGGTCTTGAGAAGAGCTCCAATCCGATGGTGCAATAAAACGTCAGGGTTCTTGAGCAAACCCCGAATTTGGACGTCAAATGCGTGGCGCCTCCCGTGGGGTCCCAACAGGAGGTCGGGAATCGCCTCGACAAACGGCTCTAATTCCATGTCATCAGACAAAGATTTCATCGTCCAAACCAGAGCTCTCTGGTCTCTATCTGAGCGTTGCTTGGTCGGCTCCATTGCCACGCGAGACATTGATTCCACTATACTCTCGGAGCGGTGAGGTGCTAAAGGCGAGGCAGGTTTGTTGGCATGCAGATACCAGTGGTGTCGGATGGTCTGCACGATCTGCCAACCTCTCCAAAAGCTGGCTGAGAGCGGTGTGCGATATGGGCAGTCCAAGTACCGCAAGGGAAGCAATGTGAGGGTGGAGTACACGACTGCCACAGCAAAGAGGATGATGCTGGCAATGGCGGCCATCGCAATGCTCACGGGGATGAGAAAGGCGACCAGACCACAAAAGAAAAGCAAAAGGGATGTGTGGAGGAGCAGAGGAATAAGCTCGACCACCGTGTGCATATGGAACCGCTTCATGCCGTAGTAAAGGTACGAGAAGATGTGCGCGCGGATAACAGGGGCAGACCGCATGTCGGCCTTGTGGAGAAACTCGCGAGCCCACTGTTGTATGAGGGTGGCAATCAAAGCGCAAGCGAGACTGAGTCCCAGGCTGATGAACCAAAGTGCATTGCATACAAGGGACGTAGCGGCCGGGGTGAAGGGGGCGGAGGGAAGGCGGGGATTAGTTGAGCTGCCGTTGGCCGACGCTTCGAGTCGCTCGAATATCTGGTTTAAAAGCTCAACAGTAAGATCGCCCGAATCGATGTTCA